AAGAATGTTAACTATTATTATGTCAAATCGCACATAATCCCAGACATGTTTATATATAAAAATAATATTATATATATAATATCCCATATGTGTTTGTATAAAAATGGATATATATATAAATATATATTACATATGAATATATTCATGTATTCACAAATATATACAGGTATATGAATATTATATCTTTTTTGAGTGTAATTGGCCATGAAATGTATTCTTGGAGGATACTGTTGGAAGGAAGCCTGTAATGTAACAATTGGGGAAGGAAAGGGTTTTTAATTTTTTTAGAAAGGAAATTCCTAGTGTGCCTTCTCTCTCTTAAATCTTTCTCTTTTTCTCTGTGTACATATGTGTGTGTGTATCTATCTATCTATGTATCTATATGACTATATGACAATATATATATGACTATATATATATGTATCTCAAAAAGTCTTACAACAGGACAGAACTATATTTGGATATGGTCAGATTTAAAACCCAATAGCTCAAATTAAACCAAATGATGCAAATTTTTGTCCTAAGTGTTATTCCCTCTTTTAAAGGCAAAACTTCCTTACTTTCCAACACAAAATGGGGACATTCTTATCATGAAAATACTAATGTTTCAAAATTAAATTTAAAATATTTAAGAACCTCTACAGATGTCACTTCAAACATGCAAAGTTCTCAGTCAACATAATAGGACAATGTGAATATCTAAGTGTGGATTAAAATTTACCTGAATACAGTGATCTACTCTATATGAATGCATTTTATTCAGAAACAGTCTCAATGGCAATCTCTCTCCTCTCTCATGTTCTCTCTCCCTCATCTCTCATATTTATATAAGTCTGTATACACACTGTACACAATGTGTTAGAGAGTATGTAAAGAGAGAAATATAGAGGCACAATCTATATTTCTCTGTAACCATATTTTATATTACATACTATCTACAAAAAAAAAATTACCCTTGTAATATGTTTTATCAGAAATAAAATCCAGGGGTGAAAAAGTATATCTTACTGACTTTATGGTACTTCATTTAACACATACAGTTTAAAGGCCCATTTGGAAAAGATCTTTCTGAAAAAGGGGCTATCTCATCAATCAAGCACTTCCTGTGTATGTATTGTAAATAATAAATGTATGCCACATGTGTGGCTGGAAGAATGCTAGAAAAAACTCTGTTGGCATGCCGAGGAAATGCTGCTGAAATAACTTCTCCTACCAACCCCATTCATTCCACTCAGCAAAAATTGGGCAAGCCAAATTCATCAATATTGATTTCAGGTTTCATCAGCAGGGACTTTTTTGAGCAAGACTCTTTTAGTTACATTTTCCACTTGACATTTCTCATTAGACTCAAAGCTTTCCCTGTGTGCAAGTCTTTTCATGTAATCCAAAACGAAGCTCATCAAGCAACCTTTCCAACAGAAACAGGAGACTCGTTTGCTGCTTGAAGAAGTACATTTCTATATGTAGGCAGTCTTCACGTATCAACCCAGAGTCCCTGCTTCCTCCTTATCCTGTGTTTTGGAGGCTAGCTTTTTGCTTGTTTGTTTTTATTTTTAATCAACCACAAAGGAAGGTAATGTCTCCTTGATAGAACAATGTTGGAAATATCACAAGGCACCGACTCTGAGGATTCATTCTGCTGGGTATTGAGTGGAACGTAATCCTCTATTGGGGGCTTTTGGAGTAAACTCTTTCTGTCCTGTTGACTCTGGAATCTGATCTGTTTATCACCTTAAGTGACTTTTACTTTTCCCTCTCCATGCCCATGGGATGAAGAAAAAGTTACAAAGTACTTCTGATACGTGGAGATGAACATGGATGTGTTATTGGTTGTACCCACCTTCTTTTACGCCTTCGTACCGCCCAACTTCCTCCCAAGCCATCCTCATAGTTGTGACTTTTATTTTTTGGACTTGTATTGTGCTTTAAATTTTTGTTGTTGTTGTAAGTTGGTAACTTTTAATTGTATAAATCTATGGGGTACAAGGTGATGTTATAATTTATGAATATAATGTGGAATAATTAAATCAAGCTAGTTAATATATCCACCATCCCAAATACGTATCATTATTTTGTGGTGAGAACATTTGAAATTTACTCTTAGCCATTTAAAAACGTACAATGCTCTATTATTAACTGTATTCACCATGCTGTGCCATAGAACCGAAACAGGAAGAAACATATTCCTCCTGTCTGAGATTTTGTGCCCTTTGACAAATGTCTCCCCAACCCTACCTCCTGGCCTCTGTAAGCACCATTGTACTCTCTGCTTCTATGACTTCAAATTGTTTTAGCTTGCACAGAAAAGTGAGAATGTGAAATATTTGTCTTTCTGTGCCTGCTTATTTCACTTAGCATAATGTTCTTCAATTTTAACCATGTTGTCCCAAATGACAGAATTTCCTTCTTTTCGAAGGCCAAATAGTAGCCCATTGTGCATATATACCATGTTTTCTGGATCCATTCATCTGTCAGTGGATGCCTAGGCTGATTCCATAGCGTGGCTGCAGTGAATATTGGAGTGCAGGTATCTCTTCCACAAACTGACATCAAATCTTTTGGGTAAATACTAGAAGTGGTATTGCTTGATCAGGTGGTAATTCTATTTTTAGTTTACTGAGGAACCTTCACACAGTTTTTCATAATGGCCGTACTAATTTACATTCCCACCAACAGTGCACCAGGGTTCCTCTTTCCCCACATCCTCACCAACACTTGTTGTCTTTCATCTTTTTGATAGTTGCTGTTCTGACAGGTGTGAGATGAGATCTCATTGTGCATTTAACTCATGATTTTTAATTTCTTAATTTATATTTTTATTTCAGAATGTCATGATTTTTATATCCTGAATAAGTCTTAGAAAAGAGGCAATATGATAAATTGAGGAAATTAACTCCGTACAGAGTATGAATATTTTAAAAACTTACTTTGACATAAAAGATAACTTCTTGGTCCTCAGCCATTCACCCCTGTCTGTGAACGGACATGCTGAACATTGATCCTGCTTCTTGATTGGTTTAAGGGTAGGCATGTGATCCAAACTAGGCCAACTAGATCTTGCTCCTGGAAATCTGAGACATCTACTTGGAATGGTCAGGAGCCCAGGGCTCCTTGGAGCCAAGTTAAGAGTAAATTAGCTCTTTAGTGAGAGGACAGTCCTGGAGACTCTAGGGATGTCTTGGTGTCTATCTTTCTTAAGGCTTCCCTGTTTAACAATTTCTTTGGTTCCCAATAAATTACTGCTCTTTTGCTTAAATTAAACAGAACTGATCTCTGTTGCTTGCAACCAAAACAACAACAATGTACATATCTTTTAGCAATTGGTAACAAATATAAGGTAATCGATTTAAGATTTATTTTAATGTGTATATGTTGGGAATGAGAAGGATGGAGTAATTGTGTAGGAAATTTTGATGAATTGGAAATGTTTGTGTGGTTAAAATTGTAACACATACAAGTAGATCTAATCCATCTGTCGAACAGTACAAATCAAAATATATATTTTTTATTTCAAAGTATTATAGAGGTACAAATATTTTGGTCACATGGGTTGCTTTTGTGATGCTTGAGTGAGGGTTCTAAGTGTGCCCATCATCCAGATAGTGTTCACTGTACTCATTAGATAGGTTTTTGCCCATCCCCTCCTCCCCATTCCCCCTGTTTCATTTTCATTGAGCTTTACTTCTGTGTATGTACATGTGTGCTTATCAGTTAGGTACAATTTAATAGTGAGTACATGTGGTGTTTGTTTTCGCATTCTTCAGATACTTCACTTAGGATAATGGCCTCTAGTTCCATCTAAATATTTGCAAAAGGCATTAAGTCATCTTTCTTCATGGCTGAGTAGTAGTATTCCATGGTATGTGTACACACACACACACACACACACACACACACACACACACACACTCTACATTTTGTTAATTTACATTTTGAAGGTATAATTTCCTGAGATTTATAATGACCTTCATGTTAAACTGGAGAGGCTTCAGCTTTTTAGCTCCTTGACATTCTTGGATAATTTTGAATCAATAATCCCAAATACCCATTGAGGTGGCTCTCTGTGCTGTATGCAGTTAGACCCAGATGCAGAATGCTACTGATCAGGAAAGCAGGAGAATGGGAGAGAGGATAAAGTCTAAGTTAACTCTCATGCAGCCATCAGTGAAACCTAGGGTTACCTGTCATGGTATGTACCTTTTATAAGCAATTGTTCATTTCCATTGTACTTATTTATGATGTAATTGCATGAAGTATTTTTATGATAAATTTATTCACCTGTGTCCCAAGTGCCAAGCTTGGTTCTTCATACACTTAGGGCTCACAGTGAGTGTTTACATTGAATAAATGAGTATATATGATAATGCAAATCATGTCACTTCACTTTATATATTATTTCAGGTCCGAAGTCTTATGAAAACAGATGTTTTTGTTCATTTAATCAAATTTTAAGTATATTAATGTCAGGTGTATGTAAAAGAGTTTCATTATGAATCATTTTGTGATGGATGTGATTACCTCCAATTTATATTGCCCATAGTTTGGTTTGCCATGTTACAGATTTGCCTATGCCAAGGTACTGGGGTAAACACTTCTCACTTTAAACAATGGAATTTATCTGCATGTGATTGTAGCTTTTTAGACCTCAGGTTTGCATTTGTCAAAGATTAAAGTAGGAAATTCAAAATAGCAGGCGGGAGGGGAAGGAGGATGGAGACCCATCTGGCAGGGAGTGTCTTACAAGGGATTTATTGATCAGTTAACAATCCATATCACAAGCCAGATGGCAGGAGAGCCAAAGTTCCTTTTATTTTTCATCTTACATATTCTTACATATGCATGACATAGTTCATAAATAGAAGTTTTAAAACTTAAAGCAAAATAAAAGATTGTGGGTATTTTTAACACATAAAATCTAACTGCCACACTTAATTATATTTATCAGATTTGATGACATCATTTTCTAAAATTGAATTTCTATTTATTTGCTTTTCTTTCAGAATAAAAAGGAATGTCCTAATTGTGAAATCAGAAATCCATTTTGAATTCTTCATAAAAATGAGGGTCCTATTCAAATGTATTCTCCTTTAAAAATATTTTAAAATTGATTTCAGGTTCCTTAATAATAGGAAGCTAATTTAACTCAGTGGCTTATACATACTACTGGGTTGGTATTTTGACAGGGCATTTTAATTACCACAATATCCAATGATATTAAAAATGGCAAGTTCTTTTTTATCTTCTAAATGGAAATGTAGCCTATTTCCACAGAACCTTCAGAATGTACAATATTTTCTTCTCTCCTGTAGGAACATAAGCTTTTGGAATATTTTTACATAGAGATCATTTATTCCTTTTAGACATATTTTTAAAAGCTTTTGACTTTCATGCCCAAAACCAATTAATGACCCCTTTCTGTGAAAAGATGAGACACTCTGAGTGATGGGACCACATGGCCTGCTGTGACCCAGAGGTCATTTTACCGACACGTTGAGACTCAATGTTGAGACGGGCCTTGTTGCTTTGAAAAGACAGTGGGTAGAAGGTTCACAACCACCTGGGCATAGTTTGATAATCTTTCACACTCCTGTATTGGGAATGTAATTATGATAAAAGAGCAACCTTTGCAAGAATAATTTTTAGCATTTGCAAATTTAGTAACTTTATTAGTTTGTAGTAATGCCATAACAAAGTACCACACACTGGTTGGCTCAAACAAGAGAAATTAATTCTTGCCCAGTTCTGGTGGCTAGAAGTTGAAATCAAGGTATCAGCAGGAGAACCTGTTTCTTGCTGTTTGTTTCTGGTGTCACTGGCAATGGTTGGCTTGCAGTTACACGACTTCAATCTCTGCCCCCATTGTCACATGGTGTTCTCCCACCAGTGTCTTCACACTATCTTGGTATCAGGACACCAGTCATAATGGATTAAGGGCTTACCCTAGTCCAGTATGATCTCATCTTAACTTATCACAATCTTATCACATCTGCAAGGACCATATTTCCAAATGTGGGCTCATTTTGTGGTATCAGGGGCTAGGACTTCAACATATCATTTTAAGGGACACAATTCAATTCATAACAGACATTATTTGAATTTTTTTTAAAGAAGTGAAGTATCTCTGTGTTGTTTTTTTTTTTTTTTTAATTACGAGAGGACAAATATTTTATGAATGCCCTAGAGTCTGAGGAGAAGTATCTTTTCTCTGATGCGCTTGGAGGTTGCCCATTGAAAGAATGAAGGCTATTAATGTACTGCATGTTCCTACTCCAAGTTAAACCTGTCTCATCATGGGATTTCTGGAATCCTACACACTGCCACTGCCCAGAGTATTAGAGGACATTTTATCCTGGGCTTTTTCAAACCTTATTGCCAGGTTTTGAGTCTCTTAGAAAGCTTGATCTTATGGGGAGCTTCATCTTTAAACAGAGGAAGGCTGAGCTGTTTTTCTTGATGTGGCGGTGAAGGTGGTAGGACCTATTCACATCTACCTCCCTTGTCCCCTAAACTTTTTTTTTTTATTTATTTATTTATTTTTTTTTTATTTCGGCATATTATGGGGGTACAGATTTTAAAGTTTCAATAAATGCCCTTCCCCCCTGCCCCCCACAAGTCTGAGTCTCCAGCATGACCATCCCTCAGATGGTGCGCCTATCACTCGTTATGTATGTATATACCTGCCCCCCCTGCCCCCCTTCCCCAATACCCTATTACTGTAGTACCTATGTGTCCACTTAGGTGCTACTCAGTTAATACCAGTTTGATGGAGAATATATCTGGTGCTTGTTTTTCCATTCTTGGGATACTTCACTTAGTAATATGGGTTCCAGCTCTTACCAGGAAAATATAAGATGTGCTATATCACCATTGTTTCTTAGAGCTGAATAGTACTCCATGGTATACATATACCACATTTTATTAATCTTGCTGGGCATCTCCCCTAAACTTTTGACGTACCTCCACAATCCCAGTGTCAGAATCACCCGAACAGCTTATAAATGATTTAGCCTGCTGAGTCCCCCTCCCTCCCTCCCTGAAAGACTGTACTGTGAACACACTTCCCAAGCGAGTCTTTATGCCCACCAAGGTTTAACAACCTCTTTCTTAAGAACTTCATGGAAAGCTTTGATCTAGTTCAACCTTGAAGATGCAGAAACTGAGAGTCAGGCAGTAGAAGATAGTCAGGCAGACCAGGCTGGTTAGCGACAGAGCCAAGCCCCCTCCTCCCTTTCCATCCCCCCGGCCTGCAGCCTCTTTGCAAACTCTGTACAGGAGGCAGCTCTTTATTCTGTAGTGGAACTGGGGAGAAAGTCCACCTTTGAACTCTTTCAGAATGTTTCCCACACATTACTTATCAATCAAAGGCATTTATTTCTTTATTTTGAGGTTGAAAAATAAATTCGTTACCCGTGTTTTCACCTAATAGAACACTGTGTTCCCCAGGGCCAGCATTTAGAAAACTTGTAAAAATTGATCTCCAAAAGCTAATGGTTTCGATTGGGGAGGTAAGGATTTTGGTTCTAAGCCTTTTCTTTTACCTAATGGCTCTGTTATGGGACTCAAATCATTTGAGACCGAAAGGAATTTCCCATGATGAAGGAGCATCCTAATAAGAAGTGAGTGGGATAGAGCTATAACTCCACGATCTTGGCGCTCTCAGCCTCGTAAACCTGCCCAAGTCCATGAAAACAGCCTTTGTGCCTCTTCTGGCACCACATGTGAGAGAGAGCCCAGATTTCTTATGAAGTGAAGTGGCGGGAGCCATGTATCTGATCGTGTGAGGTGACACACACCAGGTCTCGGAACTGCCCGTAAATAAACGTCCCTCTTAGCATTCGGTCTTGAACTCTAGGCGGGCGAAGTCATGGGAGGTGTTCATTTTTATCCTATTGGTTGGTTTGTTCAAGGCATGCAATGTAATTTGGAAGTGGGTTTGAGGAGCGGAACCCATGTTCATTAAATGCAAGTGTAACTCGAGTCTGTACTAGAAGGCAAAAGTAAGGCAAGACTCTTAAGCCTCATAATTTTAAACAGTTTGAATTTCCACTTACGTCTCTCTAAGTTGTGTGTACACTGTTTTAGCACGAGTCAGTTAACTAGTATTTTCATGCTGTGTTTGTTCTTCTGGGAAGTGTCTATGTTGCTAGTCCCACTTGCATCTTTTGCTTGTTGGAAAGTGGCCCAGTGGTCTCACAAAAAAGATGGGCCAATTCTTTCAAGATTTAACATTGTACCCCGTCTTGAAAACTACCCTCATGTCTATTCCGAAAGAAGCTGCTACCAGTATGGGGTATGGGTATGAGTGTGAGCCGAAGAGAAAAGTTTTCTTTTTAACTTGTAGAAACTGTCCCTTCCTCACTGATACAGATGCAGCTGTGTCCTTCTGGTAACAGTGCTGCCAGCACCTTCCAAAGATGGATGCTCAACCTGATGACCCATTTGTGACAAAGAGAAATACAGCAGCTGCGCGTCTTAGAATGCTCACGCCAGCATGGTAAGTGTGGCTTCTCTCTCTGTGGGCAGATTTCTAATTGCAAGCAGTGCCAGCTACATCATTTATGGGGCCCTGTGCAACATGAAAATGTGAGATCCATTGTTCAAAAAGCAGAGAAAAATTTTGACTAAAGGAACTAAAATATAAAGCTCTTCTCTATCTTCCATGGTCTTTCTTTCAGTTTGTCCTAAGAGAATTTGCTACTTAATGTCATTTTAAGTAAAGGAAAATTAAAAGTTTAAATTATTAACATGAATTTTACCATGTATGTTTAATGCATCTTATGTATAATGCTAGTTTTAAATGCATATTTAAGAGCGTTTGATTCATATGAGGAATCATCAAAATTGCACAATGGGTATTTCGTAGCTCATAGTTCATGCATGCATATGTATTTTGTATTTATTAGAATAGTGGAATCATTGCACAAAAGTAATTCACTTGCTTTTATTTCATTGTTGATTTGCTCACATCATACCAACACTCCTCACTCTTGGCTTACTGAAGATAAGGAAGAACTGAAAGGAAAAGGAACTGTGGGTGTCCCTATCACTTCCTTTTAGGCCATATTTTTCAGCATAAGTGGTTGGCCACCATAGGGAAATAACACGGGTAAGAAAAGATACAATAGGCTTCCTTGGTAGTTCTTATTTCTTGAAACACCACCGCATTTGTTCTGTGTTTGAAGCCAGTCCCAGTTAGAACAGAGAGCATGGCCTCTCTGGGCTGTCAGTGGCCCTGCGTATTCAGTTATAGACATAACATGCTTGCATTAACCTCATTTTGAGTACTACTGAACTCCCATGCATTGCACATCCAGCAGAATTCTGTGCTCAAAGGACATTGCAAATGTTGTGTATGAATGGGATATCTCCTTTGCTCATGGGCATGCTCCGTTGTCCTATTGGACTTCATTTGCAAAACACGAGTTCAAAGATAAAATTACTAACAATTTCAAGATGGTGAAGGCAAAGCATTAAAGCAAATTGGGGGGCCGAGTCCACTTGCTCAAGGCTTCTTGGGAGTGGCTCTGGGTCATGGTCCTCAAATTAAACCAAATTGGGGCTTTCAGCACAGAGACATGAAATAAAGACCAAAGACTTTAGGAGACCTCAAGTGACCATTGTGGGGAATTGAGACCAGAGCATGTCCTACCTCAAGTGACATTCAGGTCTTGGCTCAGATGTCATCTTCTTAGAGAGGCTATTCCTAGCCACCATTCTAAAGTAACTCTTCCTTCGTCATTCTTTATCATAGCAATAGTTCTCAGACTTTAATATGCATCTGATTGCTAGGTCACACCCTGAGAGTGTCTGCTTCAAAAAGTCGTGAGTGAAACCTGAGAATTTGCTTTCCTAACACGTTCTCAGGTGATGCTAACAGTGCTAATTTGGAGACCAAAATTTGAAAACCACTGCTCCATTTCATCATTTGGCTTTATTTTTCTTATAGCATTAATCTGAAATTGTACTTATGTTTATCTGTCTATTTTCTGTTTCTATCACAAGAAATTAAGTTCATCGTGAGCAGGAATTTAGTCAGCTATGTTTGACCACTATGCCTCTGGGATTTGAAATGTGCCTAACTTGTAATAGGTACTCAATAAATATTTATAGGATTAACAAATGAATACACGACCAGGAAGTTAAACGGGTGAAAGATTATTAGCTGGCAGTGAGTGGAGTGGAGTTGGGCCACAGAAACCCTTGTGCTTATTATGCCCAGATAGGAGGTATTGCTGGTCAAATTTGCTTCTAGGCAAATAAAACACAAAGTTGCAAATCTAGGGCCAGGGAGTAGAAATCATGAAACATGATGTTAGGGAACCAGCTGGCTAATTTAACTGGTGAGATAGGAAGAACTTCGTAATTTCCTCTAAGGCTTAGGCATTTGGCTGTTGCTAACACAGAATGACATGCAAGGGTCCCTCCTATGTATAGGTGGATCCCAGAGTCTCAGGAGCTCTGCACATGAGGAATCCCTGCGTGGCTTCTGGTTGACCAAAAGCAAACGTGTAAGCTAGACTGTATGTTGCAAACTGCTAAGCACTATGGCCCATGTGTTTATGAGTTGGGATGTGCAGGGTAATCCTCCATGATAAACCTCAGGAAATAGCCAGGGTCTTCCCAGCTGTCCATTCTGGATGTCGGCACACTCAAACCCTGCAGCCCCCAGGATGCTGGAGGCTTTCGGGGCTAGTAACTTGTGACACCCCAAGAACTGCTCTTTTGCTTAAACATACATAATCCTTGAACCACTGAGCCTCTCCAGCTCTCCATCTGTTAGCAGTTGTCCAGCATTTTGATCAGCTTGACCTGATCCTCTTGTCTCCCTGCATTTTTCTTTAAGAAACAGATTTTCATGTTATCTTAAAATACTCTTTTGAGCTATCTTTCAAATGGCTTTGGCAGAAGCAGTTCTGAGGAAACAAGTTTCTTTGAAAGTCCTGGAACTGAAAAGTGGCAATCATTTTATAAGGGGTCAAGTTAAAGGGAGGGGAGGAAGAACAGAGACCCCACTGTGGACAACTAAGAGTGTTCCTGTGGCAAGTGCTTACCACTTGGCCGCAGTCAGAGCAGGCCAAGGTGATGGACCATCCGGAGAAGCCCTTTAGCCTCTTTGGAAGAAGTCCGTGTTGCTGGTTCTCAACCCCTGGTGTGTTAGACTCACCCCTGCCCTGACCACTAGAGAATCTGATTCGCTGTGTCCAGAGGGGTGTATTAGTCAGTGTGGGCTGCATAACAAAGTACCACAGCCTGGATGGCTTAAATGACAGGCACTTAGTCCCTCACAGACCTGCAGGCTAGAATGTGAGACCAAGGTGCTGTCGGGGTTAATTTCTTTTGAGGCCTCTCTCCTTGGCTTGCAGACAGCTGTCTTCTCTTCTTTGTCTCCACATGGTCTTCCCTCTGTGTTTGTCTGTGTTGTGATCTTTTCTTTTAAGGACACCAGTCATATTAGATTAAGGCCCACCCGAGGACCTCATTTAACTTCGACCTCTTTGAAGACCCCGTCTCCAAATACAGTCATATGCTGAGGTACTGGAGGTTAGGACTCCAACATACGAAGTTTGAAGGGATGCCATTCAGCCCAGAACAGGTGGACCCCAGGAAAGCTGTATTTCTAGCCGTGTCTCCAGGTAACATGGACACCGCCAGGCCTAGCGCCAGTGTTTAGAAACTGCTGCAAACACCTGCTGGCTCTTCAGCCTCATCCCCTGGCACAACCCTCACTATTCTCCTTTGCAAATGAGAGAGCTCTGCCAGGCCAGCTGACTTTCAACGGGATCGTAGCAGATATGCTCCGGAAGGACTTGGTAACCGAATACCTTGCTGCCTGCAAATATAATCTGGGTTTGTTTGTGGCTGGACTTCTGGGTATCAACCTAGAGACATTTCATTTCCAATGAACTATGTTCTCAAAGCAAAGCAGGTTTGCTCCTGGTTAAAAAAAAATGTGAATCTGAAGACAGGTTGTGAGTGAAGCTTGGCATGCTGGAAAACAGATCAGATGTAGACCTAATTGCCTATAATTTATCTTCTGTGGCCACAATTTAGTCTGCTCTCCAAGAATCCTCATTAAATGTTAAAACTCAAGATACCCTAAGGAGCAAGCAGTGCAACACTAACAAGCATTTGCCTGAAAAGTCAATCTGCAGTATATATTTCTCTCATACAAATCCTTCTTTTCTGCCACTGTCAAAACTGCCCATATGGATGCAAGTAATTCATCTATGGCAGGAGCTATTCTGTGTGTGTGTGTGTGTGTGTGTTTTGGGGTTAATGAGTATGGGGATGAGGTAGGCTGGGATTAGGCTGTCATCATTTGTCTGAAAGAGTTTAACTTGAGCACGCTCTACTTGCCATTTTTTGAGTTTATGCAGTGGCAGAGCTTCTCCTAAGTGGAGATAATATTTTCCTTTGAATTCTGTGGAGCAAGAGCATTTCTTGAATTGTGTCTTCCATGTCTCAGAGTAGTAAAAATGATACATTCTCTTGACCAGTCCTGCTATATTGACTGCACTGGCACCGGTATCACAGCTTAAGTATGTAATTCATTATATTTGTGGGATGTACAGGTTCAGCTGTCCTCAGTTTTGATCTTGGGCCAAAAGGATACCTACATGCAACTTTGGAAATACGTGGAAGTGTCTTCTAGTGGTCATATGTCCGGGGGCATTCCTGGAATGTAATGGGGGGGAGGCGGAGAAGTGAGACATTCCATTCTGTTCAGGATGGTTTCACACGACGGAGACCGATGTACCGAAAATGCTTTTAACAAGCCTGCTGAGAGGCACTGATGGCTATCAGAGGACGAGCTTTAGTAACAGCCGTGATGGAATGAAAATTGATGTGGCACTGAAGCAGCCTGAGTGGGAGGCTGGCCTGACTTGTCCTACCTAACTCATTCAGGGGCAGAGTGGGAGCCCAAGACGCCAGCAGATCCTGGCTGTGCCGCCCAGGGGTGGGCCCTGCCTGGTCTGCATTTCACACGGAACCTGCAAGCTCCAGGCAGTGGCCCCAGCTTGGATGCTGCTGGCTTAGGAGGGAGGTGGGGGTCCACCCAAGTAAATGTTAACTCCACTCAAGGAGAAATGTGGCCCCATGAAGACAAGTCAGGGGAGCAGGGAGTAGAGTGTGGGGTGGAGCAAGGACCAGAAGTTCCAGAACTTCTCTGAAAGGACAGAAGAGTTCACGTGGTTCTGTTTACTAAAGTTTGTGGACAGAATGTTGGAGAACTATGCTTCCATATTTCTTTAAACTTCCTCTTGTACAAATTAGTATAAGTACCTTCTTCATGACTTCTTCAAGTCCTCAGCATTATCCTCAAGGGACAGGTCTTTCTCCTTGATTCCATCTTTAGAGAAAACTTAATTTCTCCTGCAGTGTGTACTTTTTTAACCCTTAAAATGAAATCCTAAGCTTTTAGTTTAATTTCACATACTGTTACCCTTGTATTTTTTTAGTATTACTTTGTTTCTATTAAAGTGATCAGAAATGATTATTTGAAGCAACAATTATTTTTGCAAGCATCCTCTATTTGTTGCAATAGGACACCCCAAATAAATTTGGGTTTTTTTTTTTGTTTTTTTTTTTGAGATAGAGTCTCACTTTGTTGTCCAGGCTAGAGTGAGTGCCGTGGCGTCAGCCTAGCTCACAGCAACCTCAATCTCCTGGGCTTGAGTGATCCTTCTGCCTCAGCCTCCCGAGTAGCTGGGACTACAGGCATGCGCCACCATGCCCGGCTAATTTTTTTATATATATACCAGTTGGCCAATTAATTTCTTTCTATTTATAGTAGAGACGGGGTCTCGCTCTTGCTCAGGCTGGTTTTGAACTCCTGACCTTGAGCAATCCGCCGCCTCGGCCTCCCAAGAGCTAGGATTACAGGCGTGAGCCACAGCGCCCGGCCTTAAATTTGGGTTTTATTTTGGGAAGAATCCTTCCCCAAAATGACTTAAAGTTGAAAATAAGATCATTTCTCAACTAATAGAAAGTACATATCACCTCCACAACTTGTTGTTCAAGAATACCTTATTTCGGCAGTAACAGCAGTATGAGAACAATGTGCGTCCCTTACTATTGAAATAGTTATTACAGTTCCAAGAAAAGTCAAAAACCTAAATTTATTTCATGATTTTCAGAGACTTTTGTTGTTTGTATAGCTAAGGCTCCCCAAATGTTATGTTTTTTCCCATTGTGAAGAAAACATTATATTTTATTGGCTCCAAAACTTTCTTTTGACCTCCAATGGTGTAAATAAATTTAACTGTTCAATTTCACAAATGTTTACTAGGAACCTCGTGTGTTTAAAGTAATCTTCCAGGTGCATGGGAGATGCCAAAATAATAAGATATATTCTTCTTCACTACCTGTTAGGAAACAGAGACGAGAACTGACATAGCTGGAATCTAAGCCAGGCTTCAATCAGTGCCGCAGCAGACACGTGGAGAAGAAATGATGTGGGTAGCAATTCAACCAATATGTACTGAACATTTGCCAAGCCAGCGTCTCGCCTGTGTGTTGAGAATGTAGTGACCAACCCCCCCCCCCCAGATATTGTCCCTACTCTCTTGGAGTGCATGGAATAGGGAGGGCATCTGTGTCTAGAAGGGATTAATTCTGGCTAGAGTAATTGTGAAGACCAAACTGGAATTTTGTGGGAATGGTATGGAGAAACGTCAAGGGGAAATGCATTCCAGACACAAAGAACAGAAGATCAGAAAAGAATCTTTGGGGAGTGCATTTGGAAATGGAAAGTAAGTCCCAGAAACTGGATCCCATACACTGGATCATAGGATGAGTATAGAAAGATTCATCGGAGATTGGTTCCACGTTGTGGAAAATTCCCAGTGAGCACACTTTACTCACCATTTCATGAATTGCAAAGTGACAAATGTATCTCTTAATGGTGAAAGTATTTCCCAGTAAATTTTGTAAGGCAGGCGTTTTTTTTCTTCCTGTGGGGGTAGTCATAAAAGCCTTGGAGAGTTTTGATCGAGAGGATGCTATGATCACATGAGAATAGCTGTGGCGAGATCTGTTATGGTTGCCCTGCCCTCTGCCACGGCCTGACCTCCAGTGGACCAGCCGGGGCAGACATATCCATATGCCCCACGGACAGTGAAGCTGGAGGCCATCAATTGACATATGATGTAGCAAGAAAATATGAATGGGGCCAAAGCCTTGCTTTTGTGAACTTGATCTATAAGAAATTTGCTAGTTAGCCATAGAACTGAAGATGAAAGGATGCCAAGAAGTTGAGACTGAGCCAATACAATCCACAGCCTCATGCGAGCCAAGAAAATGAGTAGCTGATGATGAAGAGAGAGACTTGGAGAGTGCAGATGAACAGAGAAGGGCAGAGCATGTGTGTGAGAAGGAAAATGCAATGACACCAAGGGCGATTTCGATTTATGGTGTCAGAGTTAGAGGGGATAGCCAGGAATCCACTGGGGCAGGACATCTGTGTTTTGGTAACTAGATGGATGTGGGCAAGATAACTTTTGGTGAGGGCTAGAGTTTAAGAGAACTCTGAGATTTCAACTCTGAGTGATGAGAATGGTAGTGATTCTATATGTGTGTGTTGGAACACAGGTGTAAGGGAATTTTGTAGAGGCAGAAGGTGCTGAGTTCTGTCTTGAACGAATTGGGTGGATCCTTGTGGAATATATATATATATATATATATATATATATACACACACATACATACATACATACAGAGAGAGATACAGAGATAAATATTGTGTGAACCTATGACTCAGAAGAGAAATCAATGAAGGGGAAGAGAGCCAGCATTTATGGTATCTTATGTGGCAAACACTATGCTAAGTGCTCTACATATAGGTTTTTATCTAGCTCACATTCTCTGGGCAGGCTGTGTCATTTGTCTGTTTGTGCTCAAATCCATCCTCTGACCTTTATTTGCTCTGTTCTGAATTGAAAGGGGCTGTCCCCTGCAAGGACATTTCCTAGGCTTCCTTGACAGTGGCTTCAGGCTAGGTTTGGCCAATGGGAAGTATGGTGAGAGATTGGAGGGCTAGAGAAAGGTATTTATCTCCTTTCTGCTTCCAGTTGCATCTCCAGTAGCAGTTGCTGTTATATCTCTTCTGTAGTACTCTCTCCAATTGGACAGAAAAAGAAAAGGAGGGAGCAAGTGAAACCACAGTATATATATGCCAGATTTGGCTATATATGCATAAGAGAAAAACCTTGCCAAACAGTGGCTTAAGATAAATTTAAGGGGTTTTCCTCTGTTATGTAATATGTAGGTGGTCCAGAGCTGTTATGGTATTATAGTTTTGTAGTCTGTTTAGGGACCTGTTATGCATTTTCTGCTTGGCCACATCTAACACATAGCTTCTGCTCTCAGGGTCTCCTCCTGGTCCAAAATGGCTGATGAAACTCAGCTGTCACATCTATGTTCGAGGCAAGTGGAGTAAAGGATATCCTTCTAATGCCCCAGCTTACATCTCATTGGCTGAAACATAGTCATGTGGCCATGTGAGGCAGAAATGGAGGCTGGGTAATAGTCTTTTAGCTTGGCCCTAATATACTCTGTTATAAATCAGGGCTCTGTGACTAAGAAAGAAGGGTATAATGGGCATTAGACAGCATATAGAAGTCTCTGCCTCAGCTATGAAATAACTACTATCCTTATTTTAAAGATGAGAAATGATTCTAGAGAGCTTAATAAGGTCTCACAGGTGGAATGTAGCAGTGCCCATATTTCAGCCCCAGCCTGTCCGACTCCAGAGTTCATGGGCGTTTCTCTATAGCAAGTCGAGGGCTGGGGAGGTAACGGAGAGTCCACTATGTAGAGATGATGGTTGAAACATGAGAGAAGATGGATGAGATTTCCCAGGAAGAACATAGAAATAAAAAACAGAGGGGCTCGGGAGAGAAATAAAGAACCCAAAGGCACTGGGGAAGGCCCAGAGTTAAAGGTGAAAGATGAATAGCCACTGGGGGGAAATAAGAGGAAAGGGTTGCAGAGGAAGGAAGGAAGCCAGGGAACCAAGGCCCAGAGGAGCCAAGGAAGGAGCAGGCAGAGGAGGCAGTTTCCTGACTGAGCAATGTTGGCCTTGGAGTTGGGGAGCATAGGTTGGGATCTCAGCTCTGTCACTTTCTGATGACATGACCTTGGGTAGCTGTTCCATGGCTTGAACTTCATCGTACTCATTTCCTGGTAAACAGAAAACATGCTGAGGTCATTAGTGGAGAACATCAGGGCAGTTTATTTTTGAATATGGGTACAGGTAATATTGACACGGGTGTTCCGCAGGTTATACTCCCTAAGTTTAGAAACGCTGCTTGGTCTAGTCCTGCTGTTTTTAATAGTTTCCACTACCTTGGATGTGGCCTGGGAATGGGAGTTGTAGTTTATGGTGCATGTCTTAATTCCGGATCACTATTTCTACCTCTATTTACAAAACAAGTGTGGAATAGCCAAAGGCATGGAGAGGTCAGGCCATTTCCTCCTTTAATCCACAGCGGGGCAGGGGAGCTCTGATCCAGCAGAACACACCCACACCCAGAATGGGTCCCTGACACTGGCTGACTTCAGCCATCCACCGCCTCCCTGCACGCCTCTCTCCTTGGGAGCCTCCGCCTGTGGACTTGACTTGTGGGTCCCTTTCCATTCCTTAGGAGTAGGTGTTGTTATTGCACTGGCCCTCTCTGTGATATTGTGCAGCACTCTGCACATTTATAGCTTGCATAAATATTGGATAATAATAAATAACTACAAGGGAGGAAGAATATTACAGGCTAGGGAGAGTGAAAGATGCTGAACTCATTATTCGAGGGCCAATCTCGGGCCTCTTGGCTATCTCCTTCAAAGAGATTTGTTTGCCAGCTGTGTTGAGAAATATACTTTCCATATGATAAGCCCAGAGAAGAAGCCAATTTCCCTACAGAACGCTTTCGGAGCATCCCCAGGAGGGCCCGCAGAATCCTTAATGGCGTTTCGGAGAGGATAACCCCTCACGCCTCCTTGGCAACGGAGGTTAGCGGAAAGCCCTGGGGAGGATGGCTGTAGCAAGATGATGAAATTAGGGGAATGGGATGGATTCCTTTTATTTCATTTTATTTTCTGATTCCGTGTGCAAAGAGGGCAGCTTTCCAACCATTTTATGGATCCATCATTGGCTGAGAAAGTCACTTGCTTTTCGCTTCACTATGGTCTTGGCTCCAGGGGGGCATTTCTTGTTTAATACGTAACCCAGGTTCAGTGTGTCAATCAGATGCTATCTCTTCTATATGAAGAACTGGTGTTTTGATGTTTATAAACTAGTTAAGACAGACAACTGAATTCTTAAATTTGAAGTACGGTAAAATATTGAGTAAATATTTATAGATCTGGGAGATTGGAGAAACGATAATCAAAAAGAGGCAATATGCAAAGCAGCTGGGCTCATGTCTTTTGTAGTTCTGACTGGCTGCAGCCCAGCCCGGCCACACGGGTGTTTAGTAAATAAAACTAATACCTCCTTTATATCCTGACCCATATCTGCCTATTGTACTGAAAATGTTTCCATCGTTTGTGAACAGATTGGTTTCATTCATTCAGAATGTCACATGTGATTCATCTGGGGGTAGCAGTGAGGTTCTACCCAAATCTTGCACAAACAAGAACCAGTGCTTGCCTTGCCCACGTGCCTCCTGGCCTGTGTCTCACTGTCCCCTTGTGATAGCCCACCTGTGGGGTGAAACACAGCAGGGACCAGGAAGAAGTGGAAGGTGAGCTGGACAGAAGTCAAAAGCAGGGGATCAAGGTGGGTAGAAATGAGTTTTGAGAGCAGCAGCTCAGTGATGTCTTCTCAGGTATCAGGGTTCTGGAAACCTCAGCATGGGTTTGGCTTCCCCGTGGTAGCTGGTAGCAGCTGGCACCACCACTGTACTAAGAGAAAAACTCTTTCCAGACACCCAGAACTGTTTGCAACCAAAGATTTGGAGATCAGATTTTAGGATTTCAGCTTTTTTCATTTGATAGTAAATGATATAGGATAGGATCTTTTAAACTTGTCTTTCAGCTATCCCCTCCCCACAGAAAGACTGTTAAGCAGGGAATTGTGAAAGCCTTTTCTTATCGTAGGAGACCCTGTCTAGAAATGGACTAGGAAGATGTGGAAGGGCCCCCCCCCCTCCCGATCACGTTGCACGGCAGGACTGGCCAAAGAAACTACGAATGTTTCACCCAGAAAAGAAAAGAAAAAAAAAGATTGTTCTTAGGCCTTAGCTGTCTTCAAAATTTTGAAGAAATATTATAGGGAAGAGAAATCCATCTCTCAGAAAGGCCCTTCCTGACCTTCTTAACTTACTGTAGGCCTCTCCTGCACTCCTGGCCTTGGTTAGTTTCCTTCATAGCACTTCTTATAACCTGAAGTTATTTTTGTTGTTGTTTGTCTGTTTACTTTTTGGGTCTGTTTCCCCTCCAGGAGACCAAGGGTCATATTTGTCTGATTCATTCTGTTCCCTGAGCCCTGGGGGTAGCACCTGTCCATGTCCAATACTCAGTAAATGCAAGTGGAAAGAATGGTGAATAGCATGGCTCCAGAGGACCAGGCTGGTGATGTTGTTCCTGAGGGTGCAGACTGATCCCAGGGTACCTGCCTTCTGTCCCAGAGTTACTAGTTGCTCCTAACTCCCCTATTAACCCTGCCAGTTGAAGCATAAATTCCCACAACGGGTCACTTGGGGACCAGGTGAGAAACTACCAGTGAATTGATGTAAACTTTTATTTTATATAGATATGGATAGATATAGATAAAATCAACCTAAAAGTGTGTCTTAAGAATAGTTTTCTTGAAATAGGAGCAATAATGTAAACAAATCCTGTCCCTTTCTGCTCCCACTCCTCTCTAAATACACAGAGAAAGAGTGGGAAGTTCAACTTCACTTTCAGACACTATTGGTAGACAACTTGGAATACAATGGACTTTGTGGCTGAAGTGGCCAGCTACTTGGGGAAATGCTGAAGAATTGGTTGTCTGTCAGCTTTCTTGGGTTACTGTGACGAGGGGCTTCCCCTATGTTTTGAAGCAAAACAACTCCCTTCCCCCCAAGAAAAACCCCCCACAAAAATAGTTGTGAATAAAACATTTCTTTGCTTCTAGCCATTTGTCAACCTCAAATACTTGACATGAAATCCAGACATTTGAAAAACTTGAGCCCTTGTTGAGCCAGAATCGGGCCATCTATCCAGAAGTGGCAATTTTGTGAGATTTCTTAGATTGGGTGGTGTATTTTGGAACCACTCTCTATGTGGGGTTCACAGCTCAATTCTCCAACCCTGCCTTTGACAGATACACTTTCAGTAATTCAAGAAATGGCTCTGCCTCGCCACATGCCATGGAATTAAAGGGCAGCTTCTAGTATGTATACTGCCCCCATGTACATATTAGGAGAGTTTACCAACAGGGTGGGTAGAACACAGGAAATTGCAGTTGTGTAGCATGCGAAGATCTGACTAAACCCATCAGTGTTTATTCTGGAAGCAGAAGTTACGTCAACTTTCATTTTGAAGATGCAGGAGAAAAAAAATGCAGATTCTGCAAGAGAAAAAAACCACTCAACTGCCAGTGGAATAAAGTCCAGGGCCTGTGGCAGGAGTTTGCACCACTGGTATAATGGATTCTCATTATTTTCCTGGCTATGGAGACCAAGAATTTGGCCACATTTTGGATCCAGAACAGCATGCCCTGGACACGCCATATTGACAGTTCTTCCTAAGTGACCCAATGGGAGTCATATTGGTGAATATTCAAGAAAGATACCATCCTTCCACTACAGGAAAATAGCAATGCCCTCTTCCCTCACCTATCCACTAAAGAGAATTTGTTACAGGTTGCTGGGTCCCCCGGGCAATGGGTAATGAATGAAGGGAATAATTGAGGATAATGAAGACAGGCTTGGTTTGATTTTCATTAGAAAGTATTAGAAAAAAATTCCAAAGGGTGAAAAGGTAAAGAGTCATTGAAGTCAATGTGGCCAGATTTGGGAGAGATATAGAGTGAAGAAATAGTGAGTCCAAAAACAATTCTTCTTAGTGTGAGAAATGAGATAAGGAGATCCAGGAAGAGGATTTTAAGGATTTGGTCATATATTATGAATGAATTCTTTTTTGACATTTTCTCAAGATAGTACACTCAAGTACCACATAGCTCTGCAATGATTTCTGGATTCAAGGCTGATCCATCTTTCAATGCAAATCTGTGTCCAAACAGGGTCACATGGCAGCTAGGCTTTTAAAGAGGTGCACAGTTATAAACTTATGTGTGAATGTACACAGTGGCTCTCTCCTGGACAAGATCTCATGCATCACCACAGAGAGGAGGTACCAAAATCCTCTTAATTAGGAAATAGATTTTACTACTTAATTCAGGATTCAAGACATTGTAGTCACCGTAAAACCTAATTTGGTATTTTCATTTTTTTAGAGTCAATGACGGACCCAAACGTTCAATGAGGGAGTCAGTGCTACTCTAATTGGTTTTTGGTATTATACCCATTGGTTTGAAAGTTGGAAATACACCTTATGCTATAAAGGAAAAAATTTTTTTAAGTAGAGCTTGATCATCTAATTAAGCCAAATGGCCTGAAAGTAATAATTATTCTTTAAGTTAGCAGTAGACTAAACAAATTCTGTTGGTAAGATGAGCTTAAAAGTGGATGATTAAGCAGTCATATTAGCCACAATATTAACAACTAGGACTCAATAGTCTATTAATTTGTTAATGGTTTTCTTGTAATAAGCAGGCGACAAGTTTTGGTGAAGATGTTTTGGGAAGTTTTGTATTGTTGATGTCACCAGAATTTCTTTTGCCTATCACATCTTTCAGGGCTTCTTGGAGGTTCCATCTTCTAGGATTTCAGGAGTGGTGCCATGTTTTAACACTTTACTGACATGATATCAGGAAAGGGTAAAATTCTCAATAGACCAGTAAAATCTTACCTCAAATATTTTAATTGGGGTTAAAAAAAGATACATTGATTTGAAACCTTCTGCACCAAGTTCTTGGCTTCCCTCTGGAATGCTTTGGGATTAATTGCTCCCCAAGGTGATGTAGATTCAACCTCTAGGGATTTATTTTAAAATCAGCACAAGCTCTTCTGGCCTTCCTATGGCTTCTCAATATCTACTCTGTTTCCCTTCCATTAACTTCCATCATTGATGAATTCTTTAATGTCTACCATTAATCAAAATGAGCATTACTTACTATTTCATACCTTTTATGCTTCATCTTACCTTGTAGAGTTTGTTCCTAGCCTCAAAACACCAGATCCCACAATGTATTTATCGTCTTTATGGGATGTTCAACATTTAAAATGCACTGGGGGAAAATTCATGGCAAATTTGCAAGACCAGTAAAAAGGAAGATCAGATAAAAATGATTCTAAGTACCATTATCCCATTTCCATCTCAGGTCTCTATTTTGTTGGTCACTTCTTTGTGTCAATTGTTTATAAAACTAAGATTTGACAGGCACTGTGTTTCCTAGTAAAGGTTTCTCATTCAGCTCAATTGAGTCTAATGCACTTGTGTTTAAGAACCCAAATTAAGAACCACTGTGCCTTCCCACTTCGAGCAAGGGAACAGACATAAAAGAATGGTACAATCTACTTGAGCATGCCTAGCGAAGTAGATTAATGGAGGAGACCTATCAGTAGGACATTGCAGGTTTGTTATTTGGCAATATATCATTTCATTTGCAATAACAGTCTTCTCTGGTTTGTGCAAATTACTAATAACAACATCTCCACTCTTAGCAAGACTTTATTCTGACTTTATGTTTCTTTGGGGGATTTTTTGTTTGGTTTTTTTAGAGACAGAGTCTTGCTCTGTCACTCAGCTGGAGTACAGTGGCGTGATCAAAGCTCACTGTGTAACCTCAAACTCCTGGGCTCAAGCAATCATCCCATCTCAGCTGGGACAACAGGCCTGCACCACCACACCCAGTTAGTTTTTAAATTTTGTAGATATGTGTTCTTGTTATGTTGATCAGGCTGGTCTCAAACTCCTGGGTTCAAATGATTCTCCCAAAGTGTTGGGATTATCAGTGTGAGCCACCTTGTCAGGCCTTCAATTTTAAGTCAAACAAGAATAAATTAGAGAGACCATTCTGTTAACATTCACTCTTAGCTCATTTTAACCACAAGAATAAGCCTTTGCCAGTTTGTCCATGGTAGGGTTACAAATCTAGAAAAATTCCAGTAATTATACCTTTAGATATGCTTTTTTATATTTTCTTCTAAAGCCTTATTAGAGTTATGTTTGTGCTTCTCAATATATATTTTGTGTATCAGCTTCCTTTTCATAATCTCCACCTGTTTTTCTTTCTATGTTGTATACTGAGCAATTTAATCATTTGCATATTCCAGCTTACTAAATTTTTAATTGTGTCCAGTTTATTGGTTATCTTATCTATTGAGTTTTAAAAAGATAATTTCTGGAATTTCTTTTTCTTTTCTTTTCTTTTTTTTTTTCTTGAAACAGAGTGTCACTCTGTTGCCTGGGCTACAGTGCCATGGGGTCATCCTAGCTCACAGCAACCTCAAACTCCTGGGCTCAAGCAATCCTCCTGCCTCCCGAGTAGCTGGGACTATAGGCATGTGCCACCATGCCCAGCTAATTTTTTCTATATATATTTTTAGTTGTCCAGTTAATTTCTTTCTAATTTTACTAGAGACAGGGTCTTGCTCTTGTTCAGGCTGGTCTTCAACTCCTGAGCTCAAATGTTCCACCCGCCTCAGCCTCCAAGAGTGTTAGGATTACAGGTGTGAGCCACTACGCCGGACCAATTCTGGAATTTCTATTCATAAATTTACCACTAGATGCTCTTTTATAACTTTCTGTTTTTGTTTCATAGATATGATTTTCCTCTTGAAGATTATAGAAATATGTACTTGTATGTCTTTTCAAATGCCCAATTATTTCTATTTTCTTGGCTGTCAATTTTTTGGTTATTATTTGCTAACTACCTTTCCCAGTACTAGATTGTTTGATGTACTTTGTGATTTTTGTTTGACAGTTACCTTAAGTGGACATTTTCTTTTTAGCCATCACTATCTTTACCCCTCCTGTCAGAGGATTTTGATGTTGTCTCAGTCTGGTCCTCAATGATACACAGCT